CTCCCAATCCTCCTGCCTCAGCCTTGTTCTGAGGGATTACAGGTGTGGGAAACAACCCCCTGCTCACCCCTTCAATCTAACTATATTCCACACACAAATCTCTTTCTTCTAAAACTTCTTTTGTATCAATTAAGTGAGTTTTTCTTTTTCCAATTTTCCAGATTCCTTGGGCTAACAGCAAGTTGTTTTTTTTTTTTTTCTTTTTCTGGATTGTCTGTAAAATACTCTGGAGTGCGTATGTATGAAGGGCTCTTTACCTTTTGGAGTAGTCTTTGGCCTCGTGAGGTTTGTCATTGACAAGTCTCATTTAAAAATGGCTTATGTATGCTTGTCTGTATTTGTTGGTTAATTTGTATGTGTATGTGTAGATATATGAGGTGTATACACATGTGTGTGTATGTGGAGGTCAGGGGAAGATGCCGTCCTCCCATATTACTCTTCTCCTGGTTCCCTCAGGACAGGGTCTCTTTATCAACTTTCCTGAGTTTTCTTTTGGTCAGACTATAAGACAGTCAGCCCAGTGGCCCCTCTTTTGTGCTTTCCTCAGAGCTGAGATTACTAGTATTTGGGAGATGACCAGTTATCATCTGGGTACTGGGATCCAAAATCCACCCCTTACAACTGTGCATGAAATATCCTTCACTGCCGTCTTTCTAGCCCACACCTCCCATTTCTGTTTCTCAGCCTCAGGGTCCTCAGTTACTTCCACAACCTTTGTAGCTATTCTGAGGCCCGGCAGCTACGTGCTTTCTTCATATCGCTCCAGAGTAGAAAGGGACAAGGATTCCCACTCAGTGGCACCTGGAGTCGTTCATGTACTCACATCTTTCAGCACAGGCATTTCACAGAGGTCAAGGAGAACTTTAACTCCCAATAGACTCAGAAGAGGGTGTATGCACACTTTAGGGCATATGCTTGCACAATGCGTGTGAATTATCTTTATGTATCAATACTGATGTTTTTATTCTATTCATGTTACTTTATGTTAACATAATTATTTTCAGGTACTTTAATACATTAATGACCTAAAACTGAGTTCATACCCTTTACATGAAACAATGTCTGCTTTTAGCTGATAAGAACAGCAAGGGTCAGGACTCTTGACACCAAATCTCCACATTGTTTGACATAGAGAGTGAGGCATGTCAGCTTAGAACATCTCTCAACAGAGGGGCATCAACAAAACCCCAAAGGTAGCACTTTTGTTTATCTGTAGTCTAACTACTATCCTGAAGTTCTAAGTATATTTTAAGTGGGCTGTGATATTTATACTTAAGTCTATAACTCCCAGAGCTATTAACAATTGGTCTAGTTGCCTAAAGGACTTAGAATTGACTCATCAGCAAATGTGCCAGGCTCTGGTGGCATTTGAAAACACAATTGACTTTAATCAATTCTGATATTGGAGGTTATAACCTGTGATTGTGTATGCCTATGTATTGTATTAAGTGTTGTGTGCACTGTGTTGTGTGTACCTGTGTTGTGTGCACTGTGTTGTGTGCACTGTGTGTATGCACCTGTGTTGTGTGCACTGTGCTGTATGCACCTGTGTTGTGTGCACCTGT